TAAAGGTTCATCAACTTTCAATTATGCTTCAATTATATATCTTTGCTTAAGCTTTTGTCAAATTAGCTTAAACTATTCCAAGAGTTTGCTAAGCTTCTTGTGGATCAATGTCACTACCGTTTCTGCATCATTATTAAAGCAGTAATCTCATTATGCCTATTCTAGCTTCTCTTGGAAAGTAGATTATTTTTTTGTTCAGTAATGACATGCTAAGTGGCTTTCTCTTGCCATTTCATATGATCAACTTCTACTTGATAAACTAGGTCTAAATTTTGTTTCTTTTTTCATTTTATTGATCACAATTTAGTTTCTCAATATTCTTCTCCTCTGTCTGCATATACAAGATATTTCAACACCCCTGCTTAATCAAAGAGGATGTTGCTATTTAAAGAGCTCGAATAGATTGGAAAGGACATTATATGGGATAATTAGGTTTCTAGATTGCATCTTTGCTTTCATGGATAAGCTAAGTGTGGCTACAACAAGCGTGATGTTGTAATTGGATAGTCCTGGTGAGAATGGAATTTTTTTTACATTTGAGGTCAATGAACTTAATCAACTAGGTTGTCAATAATACACTCTTGGTGGAAGCTCTTTCACTTGCAAGTTAATGTTTAATATATATTGTATGTATCACAGTTCTATTATTTTACTACTTCAACATGACAATTGGGTTTAGAATATTGTCTCTGGAAAAAAAAGGATTAAATCTGGACTAGTTCTGTATAGATCTGTGCTTCTTATGCATCAGTTTTCTTGGGAAGTTTGGGTGCTGATAGGTCTTAAGGAAAAGCATGAGAAAGGGAGTTCTTTCCCCATGGCAACCTAGGTGGGCACTTTGTTTGAATTTCTTTAATCATAGAATCATTTTAAGAGTTAAATGCATTTGTGACAATCAATGAGTATCTGATTAGAGAAGAATAAGAATCTTGTGAAAGAAACTGGTATATCTGAGTTAAAATTATTATAATTATTCAAGAACAAACCTATAACATTGTGATTTACTACTATCCACAATGCAGAAAAATTGCTCTGATTTTCATTTAGCTGTCTGCTTTTGTTTTTTTAAACTCAGTTGCTGCTATCCGGGAGTTTGTAGTTTTGAGATTAAGCAATTAATGAGAAGTTATATTGATCAACTAAGCCCTTGTTTGAGCCACATTAAAATTTTCATTCTCATTCTTCTACTCATTTTCAATCACAACATGCTTCAATAAAATAATATTTTCCATCACATCAATAACTTTTCCTTCTTTTTCAACCACACATTCTCCATCAATCTACTATTCCAAAATACATTCTTCCAAAATAAAATGGCTCAAACACAAATTAAGTGTAAAGACTTTTGATGTAGATTCACATTAAGCTAATTACCTTACCTGAGAATGAAAAGCATAGCAAGAATACTGGGCTATTTTAAACTTCACATTATTTGTGAACTTTTACTCGAGCTGTTTGTGCACAAAGTGAAGGTGCAGTCCACAATTCTTACTCGAGACATTTTCTATTTTATCCTTAACTATTTATTTTTATTGGAAACTACTGTAAAGGCTATTAAAAAATGAAGATTCATAAAGTCTTTATGAATTGCAGATATTGGTGGAGCAACTGGACAGCTTCTCGAGCAAAGTGCTCAGGCCCTGGATCAAATTTCTGCAAATTTTTCTGCTTTCAAGGTAATCTATAGTTTTAATAAAAAAATTTCTGTCTTTTTAACTTTATCTGAAGATATATCTATTGAAAATTGAAAGGGTTCAAACATATGTAAATCTTGATGAAGAAAACTCTAGGATGAATATATATGCTTCCCTCTTCAAATGATGACTGATCTGGATATGGAACTCAGCGGAGGGTTGTTTGAATTTTGAATTTTCTGAAACATAGGAAATTAAGAGAGTCTACTGCACTACATATACATCTTATTAAGATATTTGTGGTCATAGATTTCTTATTTAAATCCTGTATGTGCGTATCTGCTTCATAGACTTCAATTAATAGCCATATTGTATATGCCCTTTCTAAGATCGTTCTGATTGTCTGCCTCATCAAATCATAGCTGGGAAGCTTCTTCCCTAGCAGTGACTTCATGATATTTATGTTAACTTTTCTTTTCATATATGCATGCAGATAAATGAGAACATCAATCTCTTCTGTCAAGCTCGAAACAATATCTTGACAATCTTAAGCGAGTACGTTAATTACACTCTACATCTATATGTTGTTATGCTTCCATATCTGGCATGGATGGATCTTTCATAGAGAATAGATGCCTTCATTGATTTCCATTTTTATTTTCAGTAATTTTTCCCTTTACATTTTTAAATGTGTTAGTCTTCATGATAATTTTCCAGTTATTAATGGTCACCGCTCGCAAGATTAAGATTCTGTTTGGTTTTGGTTATAGGAATGCTTTCTCTGGTAATATGTAAGGAAGGAAGGTAAGTAATGTTTGGATAACTAGTGCAAATGGGTTTCTTGAAAACAGGTCAATTTCAAGTTTCAAACATTCCGTTGTTAAGGCAAGAAAAGAGTTCTAACTTCAACTTTCAATGTAATTGGTTGAGGCTATATCAGATGAAGTATTCAATGTAATGAATAAAGATTTCCTTCTTAAAACCAAAAAAATTCAGTTAAAAAATGGTTCATCTATGCAAATCAGTTTTTTAAAATTAACATAGATAGAAAAACTGAAGCCAATCCCAAACTTATTGAAGACAAGGTATAGCCCATGTTTGGCTAATGTCTATAAACGGTCAAACCACTTCTTATCTACACATTTCATGAGACCTGTAAGTACTACGCTCTTCCACCACTCATTCCTGATTATTTATAAGTTAAGCCGTTTGTAAACACTCCCCGACTTGGTTTAGATAGAAAGACAGAAACATGATTGTTGGTGTAGATATTACATCTGGACTCCCCCCTAAGCAGTGAAACATGACCCCGTCTCTCCCCAAATAAAGAACAAAAAAAGACAACTCCTAAAAGAAAATCCCGAAAGAGAAGAAGTGGAAATTGAAATTATTCTAAATGGTAGCTTTGGGCTACTCTACACTGTCTCTGAATGTCTCTTGAACAAAAGTGGAAGCAGCTCTTTCAGCAACATCAGTCTTCTAACTCCAAAATCAATTTGACTTGGCTTTAGCCACTTTGGAAGTCAAAACTCTAGGTGCTATCATTTTTAATGCATCTCTTTTAGAATTGGTGAATTAAGTAATTTTAAAATTAATTTGTTTCCCCCATTCTCCTTTTTTTCTTGGATAGAAAAAAAAAATTAAATAGAAAAAGAAAAGAGGATTATATCTGACATATTTAAGAGCATTAGTATTCACACATTACTTTGGTAAGACATTATATAGATGAATAACTGTTTGTTTGCTCGAATATGGAAAACTGCGTATTTGATTCCAGCCATAAATCTATTTTCTTGACAAGTTCTAGTCTCAATAAGAATTCTAACTCTGTCTTCAGAAATGAATGTCCATGCCTATATTTGGATTTGAAGGTTGAAACATAAGCCCATCCCTCTGAAATCAACAGTATTGCAACACAATGTAATTAGTACATGTGAAGGTTGCATTATATATATATTGCTCCATACATAAAGCTCGAGTAGGCCATAAGAACTTCTCAACTCAAATATCAGCATAAACGTTTGCCCAACATGCACATTCGTAACAAGTCATCACCTGTTAATTATCTAACAGACTTGATTAATTCCTACATGCTAAGTTGAATTATTTGAATGCAGCTTAAATGACATGCCAGAATTAATGAAGCAGATGCCACCACTACCTGTCAAGCTGAATGAAGATCTTGCCAACTCCATCCTTCCAAGAACATCATTGCCAAAGAAATCTTGAGGACATCCTTTGCAGGCTCACTGAATGATGCTTCTGATTGTGATGTTTTTAATAAATTTATAGCAAAATAAACTGGATAGTGAGCTACAATCCAGCCAAAACTTTTTTCCTTGTAACTCTGTTTTATAACTTGATATGTTTGTCTTTTCTTTGAGCTGTTGTATTTCGCTGTAGGAGATGGTTTGTGTAGCATGTTAACAATCAATAGTATAGGATTGCTTGTTTATTCTGTAAATAATTGTAGGGGAAGAGTTTTAAGGTTTGTTATTTAATAGAAGGGTATGTGCTGTGGAGCATAACATTTTTTTATTTTCGAATTGATTAGAAAATGTGGATTATATAACTTTTTTCCTATGCATGCTCGTAGCACGTTTGATAGATTGGACTCACTGGAATAGATATCATTGAACAAGATAAATAATGTTAAAATCTTGTCTTTCATTGTGTTATCAATTATCTTGAACCATAATAGTATGCAAGGAGAATGTCATTATCCTATAGAACGGTGCTCGTTTGGTAAAGCTGTTTTAAGATGTTAAAGCTGGTTAAATTTCATGTTTAACTACAAATTTTATTGGATTCAATGACTTTTATTTACTTTCATTATATATGGGACATTAACTTTTGACAAATGGTACGTGAACTTTTGTTAGAGTAACCGACTAATGTGAACAAATGACCTTAAATTTGAGATTTGGAGTAGAGGGTTCTGAATTTGAGATTAAGATAAACCCAATAAGTTATAAGTTATATGGTACTACCAAAGAAATTTAAATCACTTGTTTGGCACCTATTTAATTTATAAATATAATAAGTCAAATCTACTTTTTATCCACAATACAATAAGACCAAAACAAGAACATCTCGCCAAACAGATGGTCCAAATTCTATATGCCTATCACCCAATCGCACTGCCTAAAGTACAAAGGTTCACATATATAAGTGAATAAACGACTGGCCTAATTCTCACTATTCCAAGAGACTAGTAAGCATAATTCTAAAGCCACTAAAAAATAGTAGCCATCTTTAAAATTGTACAAGAAATAGAAAGACTAAGAGAGTAAAAATATCGAACTACTAAAAGAATTTATAGCGAGAATAACCTGCTATAATGCTTCAAGAAACTAGCATCTTCTGTTAAGAGAAATTTACCTGTGGAGCCAAAAATAAAAAGGAACACAGTTCAAACTATTCATAGTCGAAGTTGGTGTTTTTGAAGATGGGACAAAGGATAGACCCAAAAGGCCATATCCTGCAGTTGAATAAATTTACAAGCAAACCATGGATATATTTTCCGAAATAACTAAATGAAAGGTAGCTCACTATATTACAACCTCAAATGTATCACAGCCTTGGCACTTGATGTACAATGCAGATAGTTCAAATCTAGTCTCAATGCAGAACTCAGGCTTTAACCTGCATCCCCTATCAAGATGCTCTGCATGAGCTTCAGCCAGCCTCATCCTCAGCAAATCCAAATTAATCTACGATAACAGGAAAAAATAAGATAAGCAAAACATCTCAATTAGAATAGGCAAGAATAGAATTCCTGTTGTTTGTTAATATCTTATTCAATCCGTATGGTCATGGCAGAAATGAAGATCATAGGATTCAAATATGAAATTTAGCATAAAAGCACCAGCTCTAAACACTTGAGAAAAAGATATGGAGAAGCAGAAGATTTGGAATAAAGTAGCCTAATTGACACCAGAAAAGAACTTCTCGGTTGCCATTCAAACATAAAAATGTAAATGGATTAAAAGAGAAGAATAAAAGCTTCAGAAAAGTGGAGAGTTACCATGTCAACCTCTTATCAAATAGTAAGAGTAATCATTTACACATAATAATTATTCCCATAAAAAAGCAATCAAAATACTACACCCCCAAAATCTTTCAAATTGGGGAGAAACAGTTGCTAGCTGCAGTAGCATCTGCTGTCATCACACATAGGACAGGTGCTGGTTTGATATCACCACAAACCCTCGGATATGGGCCATTTCATTGGAAAAGCAAAAAAGAAAGCAATCTTAAATTTATATTTTATCAGAAGCAGCGATGAAGAAAATGACATTTCAAAATCTACCATGGTTGCTTTTTTGGTCTTGGTTTCATTATATTTGCAGGGGTTGATAAAACCTCCCCACCAATTTGAGGTGGCTATTAATTTTTGAAAGAAGAAATTAAGAATCAAAACATGCCATATGGACTAATTTACAAGCACATAATATGTTAGAGAGAGAAAAAGAGTGGCAGGACCTCATCGACTCTGTTGAGTTTAAGTCCACACCGATAACAATAAATAAGGCAATGATTTTGTTGTAACTCTCCTTGTTTGCAAACTGGGCACCAAACCTCCTTGCCTACCTATTTAGAAAAATCAAGAGCATTCAAAAGCTTCAATTTTTTTATCCAAGTTGATCAAAAGATGAATAGGAATTAATATGAGTTATATTTACTGGTGGCATACCAAGATCATATAAGATTTGGGAAAAACTCAGGCGGATCTAACCCCTTAATTTCATTTGAAGTCAATTTAGCCGTAAAACTTATAGATGCACTTATGTTATGCTTTCATCAAGTCTCAGTGGAGCACGGAAGCTCCTACTTGGATGGTGTGTCAATGTCTGTATCCAACACATATGGACACCAACACTCCACAGGCACTACAGGACACGTGAACTGCGCGCCATGCAGCATGTCTGATTTTTTATAGATATTTTAAATTTCTGATATTCGAGGGACACTTCCTAGACACCTTGGGCATGTGTGCAATAAGCCATGTAGATCGTTCTATACTGTTAATAGACATTATAGTTCAAAGACATGAGGAACACATCCTTGACATATCAAAGACAATTGTTTATAGATATTTATATTTCAAACACGGAGGAATGTGTCATGAACAAATCAAGGACATGGAAGTAATTAAATGGAAAAATTATATTTATTAAAACAACTGTGAAAAAAGGTAAAAAAGAATGTGAAAAAATTCTATGAACTTCATGTCAAATATGTTTTATTTCTGGTGCTAATGGCTATTGGACAGGGGATCCTAAAGCTCGTAGCTCAAATCAAAATTACCAGCCAAATACAGTTTCTCATGAAAAAAGGATCTCAAATTGTATCTTTCTTTCTCTTGTTAAATCTCTTTCTAGTACACAAGACATTTAATGCTGGTAAGGTGAAAAACAAATATAATCTGCCTAGCATATATACAATTTTTATTACAGAGGTATAAGTTTAGGTTTCAGAATTCTTTAAAGAAAAGGACAATATAGGCAATTCTCAAATTGTTTAGAGAAGCAAGCCACAGCAATTAAAACAAAGAAATTTCGTTAAATAATTTGCAGTATCTTTCAATTTGAACACATGAAGAGATTATGGAGATGAACACTAGGATAACTAGTAGAAAAATTAAATTTCGTATGCATAATACCTGCTCACCATTGAGCTGCATGTGCTCATATACTGCGCGAGCCAAGTATTCGTCTTCTTCATCCTCCCAAGTTCTGATAAAATTTTCTGGCTCTGGCAGGAATAAAAGTACATCTAAGCTCACAAAAATAATTGGCATAAATTTATTTTTTCTGAAATAGAGTCAAAATCAGAGAGAAAATAATTTGAATTGTCAACTTTGATCAATGAGAAAACCAGTAGTCTAGGCATAGAATTAAAACTCTTTTTAACTCACACGGGCAAAATGGATAAGCCGCTCTTATAGAAGGAGAAATCTGGGGTAGATTTATAATTTTACAAATCACCAACGACAAGCTGATTAGGATTCTTGTCGTCTACAATTCATTTGATATGGAGTGGTTCTTCATGGTATCAGAACAAATGAAAGGTTATGGGTTCAAGTCTCAATGCCACCCAATTATAAAAATTGTGCATGTGTCAAACCTTTGGTCAAACAATGAAAATTGCATGTATGGGGCCTGTTGAAGACAAACTTTAGATGGATATAATTGTCCCTTGTTCAGGTGCCTAAAACTTTTAGATGAAATGGACAACAAATATCATAGAAAATGATTCAGCTTATATAACACAAAGATGTATTTTAAATTTTTATCCTTCAAATCAAGTAGAATATGAAAAATGCAGAATAAATATTGTTATTATCTCTATCCATCAATAACATGACCTCCTGGATGAACGTGAATTTTTTTTTTTGAAAATGCACTTCTAGTCTACAAAAAATTAATCTGTTTACAGTTCGACAAATAAATTTGATAATACCAAGTGAACTAAATATAAAAGATTTTTTTTTCCCATAGATCACGTGGCAATTACAGGCTGTCAGTGTAGCACCATTAAGTCATTAGACATCAAATAAGAAATGTTCTCTTCATAGTAAAATCCCATTTATTTTCTGATATCTAAGCTGGCAATCTTCCATTGGATATTAATAATGGGATAAAGTTTGTGTATTATATGGAAACAGCTAAATGGTATGCTCTTAGAATATTTTGGAGTGTGCATGTATTATTTTCTCACTTTAAATCCACAAAGTTCGTGATGTGTACTAACAAAATGAAAATTTCTTTCAAAATCCTGAATTAGAAAGCTTAACTGCACCCTCATCATGGATAATATGATACCTTTTAAAATTTTCTGTGTCCGAATATCCTCATAAAATATTCTTTGCATTTCTAACAACAACTCTTCACAGCCACCTTGATAACCTCTATGAAGACCATCATATTCCCATATCAAGTCATCAGCAGCAGTACCAAAAGTTGGAACTCCGCAATCACTGTTCAACGACGAGTTCTTAATTTTTCTTATTTCATCAGAAACTATATCCTCGAAAGTTGATTTGATGAGATCCTGCAACCAGAAATTTAGTCCAGGTCATAGGATTGTTGACGAGTAAACTATAATTATAATAGGGGACACAACTCGGTCACTTTCAAAACAAAATACTGTCAAATATACTCAATAAAAGACTCGATACCCCTCTTTGTGAGAGATTCTCTCATTAAATAGGATTAGAATAACAACTAAATATGGAAGTAATCAATTACAATATTAATTAATGGTAAAAAACATTTTATCTATATCTAATACAATTATAACAATATATTAGTAATATTTGATGATCTTTGTAATCTTATTCAATCTTATTGACATGTTACACCATCAAATAACAAGATTAGTTTATGAATGAGTTTCATATTAAAAATCTAAAATCTATACTAAACTAACTAATCTAACAAGTTAATGTGGAAGCATTATAAAACTCAACTAATTGACAAACACTATAACCTTGAATCTCCCTATGTTTATCCGTTTTAATCACAATTCTAGATTTAGACAACACATATTTGAATATGAAGATCAATGTTACTAATTCATTTAATAATTTCTCTCCATTGGAACTAACTGATCATCATATGTAATCTTCATTTGTCTCTATAAAAAATACAAACATGCAAAGATACATTAAATTACAAGAACATCAAAGTGGGTTTTTGTTAGACTAAACTTAAGAGGTAATCAATTATTAGACTACCCATTTTAGTATTTTTCATTTATCTTTTGTGTTTTTGGTGTTATAATGATGATGTTTTCTATGATTTTTATTATAATAAGGTTGTATTTGATACACCACCTTTTCCATGGAAAATGGAATTAGTTTTCCATTTTCCAAGTTTTGTAGTGTTTGATGGAAATAATTTTCTTGGCATTTGGTTTTCTACATTGGCTCCTCACGTGCCTGTTTTCTTGGATTTGCTTGAATTGTTTTTCCCACATTTTTGGTGGGAAATGGAAGTTCCAGCTTTTTATTTTATTTTGGCAATGGAAACAAATTTTATAATCAATTGTAAAAAAAAAATTCACTTTAATGGACAATTTTCATGTAAAACAAAGTCAAAAGAACACTAAATTTTGATAAAAAACAATTTTCTAGGAATTTTTTTTTTATTTTTTGGCAATGGAAATAAATTTTATAGCCAAATGTTGAAATTTTTTTATTTTAATGAACAATTTTCATATAAACAAAGCCAAATGAACACAAAAAGATCCAAAATTTTAAAATTTTTCGAATGAAAAATTATACTAATCAAACACATTTAATTAACAATTCCCTGGAAAAAAAGTTTTAAGCAATTACTTTCTCTGAAATTCATTTTCTTTCCATCCATTTTCTACCCTTGCAATCAAACAGACCCTAACTTTTGTTCTCAAATTCACGTAAACAAGACTTATTTTGGATAACTAGTGTGGTTAACGTGCGTTGCACGTTAGTTGTTTAATGTTGAAAATAAATATATGTAAATTTTAGAGAAATTCATTCGTAAACATGAAAGATATTCATAAGTTAATTCGAATGAAGTCACTTATCGTCTATATTTTTTGTATCTTTTCTATTCTTCATATGAAGATTTGGTATTAATTGCGTCACAAATTTATTCTTAACTAAATATAATCAATGATTTAATGATTTTCTTTATTAGGTTGTAAATATTTTAGGAGCTTAAATGAAGAGTTAGTTACTCATGCTTGGCACATTTTAGCTAGTTATTTGTTTAGATTTAAGTTGTTTGTTTAGGAACCTAAAGTTCTAATGATAATAAATTTGATTGTTATTTTTGTGTCATTTTTAATCATATAATCTAACAAGAGGACTAACTCTTAAAAACTACATATCCAATCGTCAAGAAGTTAGAGATCGAAAATACTGAGATTTCTATTAGTTTGGAAGTTTGGGGATAATATATTTTTTATAATTTATTTATTTGTTTATTGTTGTTATTCAAATGGTTTGCTGTTTCGAAATGGGATCGACCGTCAGGTCGTAGGGTCAAAGGGATTGCACTTCGTGATGGTTCGGGAGCAACGTCCCCTATGAGGATTGACCTACCTGGTGAGGGTTGAGGGCAGTGTCCTTCGTGGGGGCTCAGGGGCAATGCCTAATGGAGATTGAGTCGCGAGGGGCAAGGGACAGGGCCTCTCGTGGGAGTTTGAGGTAACGCCCCCAACNCATTCACCATAGCAGAAGGCACCATAGTAATGCGATGTAAAGAAGGGAACCCCACCTTAAGCGGTCTATCTCCACACCAACAATCCTCCCAGAATCTAATATTATTCCCATTACCCACCGCAAACATCAATCTATCCTGAAAGTCACTCCAACCACGTCGAATATACCTCCACAAACTCACCCCGTACGAGCCACGACCCTCACCCGAACACCAACCCCCTTCCATCACACCATACTTCGCCACAATGATTTCTCTCCAGAAACTCTCCCTCTCCACTCCAAACCGCCACAGCCATTTGCCCAACAATGCCTTGTTAAACAAAGTAAGTCTTCTCAATCTGAGGCCCCCCATCCTTATAGGAGAACAAACAACTCCCCAATTAACCAGATTAAGTTTCCTCTCCTCTCCCAACCCAGCCCAAAGAAATTCCCTTTGAATTCTCTCTAATCTATTAGCCACTGCCACGAGAACAGGAAATAGTGACAAAAAATAGGTAGGGATATTTGAAAGAGTAGATTTAATGAGAGTAAGACGGCCACCTTTCGAGAGATACATACGCTTCCACCCCGCTAACCTCCTCTCCACCTTTTCCACAATAGCATCCCAGATATGAGTACTTTTAAATCGAGCCCCTAGAGGGAGCCCAAGATATGACATGGGTAACTGTGCGACCCTACAACCCAAGATAACAGCAAGTTCCTCCACATTATTGGCCTCCCCCACTGGAATAACCTCCGATTTCCCCAGATTAATCTTCAATCCAGATACCG